CCACCTAAAAAACAAGTAGAGCTTCGATCACCTTGTTGTGGCTGCCATCATGACCATACCTGGCAAGGAATAGGTCTGAGGTCCTGGGTTCACTGAGAAACTCTGACCGACTGCTGTGACGAAAAGGATACTGGTCTAAATAAATAAATAAACCTTTGGTCTGATCCTGGTGATGGTTCTTATTGCTTATTTATCTCAGTGGGGTTTTCCTCTTCAAGCTGGTGAGATGCACAGCCTGCCTATCCTCCAGGAGCTCAGGCTGGTATATGTAAGGCTCCTCTCGCCCGTTTTCCCCACAAGCACCATCCTCTGACAGGTTGGGCTGAGAGAGAGTGACTGGCCCGAAGTCACCCCAGGACCTTTCATGGTGGAAGGCGGACTTCAACATGGGTGTCCTTGGTGCTGGTCCAACATCTTCCCTGCTACCACGCACTGACTCTCTAAAACTTCAATGGCAAACACTACCATATAAAAAAAATACAGCGCTCCACAACTTACTTCGAGTCCTACCTGCAGAAAGTAATAAATACTTTCCTTTGATTAAAAAAAAAGGGGGGGGAGCTTGTTGATTGCTTTTCCCTTCCGGCATTGAAATAACAGCTGGATCTTGCAGGCAGGAAGAAGCCAGCTGTAACATTGCTCCTTACAGAAGCCGTGCCCCGAATCAACCTAGTTGCTATTTGTAAGTATGACTCCAGCCTGGTGGCTGATTCTGAAGGCTGGAGAATGAGCTTGAAAGAACTCTGGCAAAGCAACCGTGCATGCATGTTAGGGACTGATAATATATCGCTCCGTGGCAATAGTGTCTCCGTAAGCAGGAAAGATATTTAAAGGTCTTTATCGTAGCTTTTGGTAACAAGGAAAAGCAGGATGTAATATACACGCAAGCCAGCTGAGCAGATCTGGCCATGACCCAGAATGCTTCCATAGCTACGCAGAGCTCCTTGACATGTGGGTTGTTCCAAGTGTTCATGCTGATTATGAGCACATAATTTCTTGGCAACGTTTTTAGAAGTGTTTTGCCAGGACCCCTCAGGTGTTTTTCAACTCAGGGCTAAGAAAGAGTGACTGGTGTGAAGTCACCCAGCCAGCTTCCGTAACTAAAGGAAGACTAGAACTCGGGTCTCCCTGATCCTACTCCACAACTTCAACCACTACACCAAACTGCCTACCACTCTAAATATGTTGATTCAGTTTCCCAACCAACCTGGTTGCTCAAAGGGAGTGCAGCATTACAATTATTATAAACCACGGAGCAGAGACTTAGCTGAAACACAAACTGGGAAGTTTAGTTGAGACTTGAGTACCTGGAACATATTTTTTAACCCCAGTGAGGGAAAGATCTCTATTGTGTAGGATGATATAAAAATCATATCAGCTTTTGTGGTATTATCTTTTGCTGTTTTTCTTCATTTCTATTTTAATCAAACTATATAGTCTACTTTCATTTATAACTGATTACAAATTAGGTTTTAACACTAGGTTTATTACAATCTTCTCCAAATTTCTTGCCCCTGTCCCCATCTCTGTTTCTATCCCTATCTATCTTCACACACCTCAGTTGTGTTTGCTGGTTGAGAATGATACAATCACACCATTTTTTTTCCCACAGGCAAGCAGATCTTTTTTTAATCATGCATTTTGTTGCCTGGCTATTACAGTAATGCTTGATGGGCCCCCAAATTACAGTAACTAAAACAGACTGGACTTTAAACGGAGAAGTGTTTGTGGTGACTGACATACGGTAACAATTGCTGAGAACACAGGGTGATCCTACTGCCTGCCATCAGCATTCAACTCTACAGTCCATGCTGATGCTGTTATTTTATTGTTTGGCCATCTGTGTTTATGATATTGATGCTGCACATCCACAATTCTAATGCTGCTTGTTACCAAATGTCTCCTTCAAAGCTAAATCAATCTGATGGGCGCAAGCTATAAAAATTTTCCTGTTGTTCCCAAGTAAGTGTTCATTCAAAGATGCCCACCTTTTGTATGTTCTGCTAAGAAATACAACAATATACATCGAGCTAGCAGGTTTCCATATCACAGATTCATCTGCTTTTCCTGAAATTAGGTGTTGGGCAGGACATTCCTGTTCATTGCACCAATATTTTTGCATGTCATGTTTCTTCGGTCGTCCAGTCAAGTCTTAACCCAGCAAGATCCTGCAGAAGAAATGAAGCCCTGGCCAGCTATTCCATCGGGTTGTTTTGGACAATTTGAACTCAGAAAGTTGCCACAAGGATTTCTACCTGTGCTCCCTACAATTGCAAAGCTCCCTCCCTATTACAAGGGGATACGGAAGGATGGGTGATAGCCATCCTGAAGTATGGTGTAGAGTATATTTAATGAGGTAGAATTAAAATGTTAAGGAACACATTTGGGTTTGGGACAGGTGCATCCCAACCAAGACCTTGTAAGATGTTGGAATTAATGCCATATCCTATTTCTTCAAAAAATAATTTGACCCAGCAATATTAGCAAAGCATAAACCAAAAAGTGGTTTTGAGTAGTTAATATGGTACACTTTCTGTTCCTAGCTCCTTGCTAATAGCAAGATAGAAATATTAATAGGCTCCTTGGCAAGATAGAACATGAGGCTGTGGGGCAGATCATCATCTCCCCAACAAGTCCAAAAATGATTATAATTAGCACAACAAGTCAATACATGTTGGGCTTTCATGTCCTTTTTGCTGGTTTGGCAGTTAACTGTTTTTCTCTCTCCAGCTCCTTCTCCCGTTGCTGCTCTCGTTCTAGTTCTTCCTTCTGCCGCTTTTGCTGGAGTTTGAGTGCTCTTCTCTGAAAGAAGGAAGCATCAGAAAGCCAACGAATTATATTTGGGAATATCACAGCCTTGTTAATCTACTATTCTTCTTCTCAGACCCCTTAGCTTTTATTTCCTCTTCATGTAGTACTAAAATGGATCCTGAAAAAAGCTTATTTTCATTCTATAAAAGTACTTCTGTTTCAGGGTTATAGCCAGTCCTTCCAAACAGGTCATTCCAGTGCCTTTCCCTGATTTTTTAAAACATCTTTTCTTTTCCAGTTGATACTCTGCACAGTTGAAAAGATTCAATTCCTTTCATAAGCCTTAAGAGGGAAAACTGTTCTTCTAGATTTGTATTTTACTTTTTATGTTTATGCACACCCCTGAGTCCTCTGAAGCATGCTGACACCTCCCTTTCTGTTTTCTGTGATCCCATTTTAGCACTTTTTCAGTGGGTGTTCCCCACCTGAGTTCACTGTTATGAGAAGAGCTGATTTCATCAAGAAAAAAATTCAATACAATGTCCATGAACTGCAATTCTAAATTCTAAACAAAATGTTTTGTAAATTACAGACACATCCTAATTCCTACAAAATTTCCGTGACATGGTTTGCTAAGTCAAGCGACAATCCAATATTTCATTTTAATCTTTTTGCTAGAATTTATAAAATAGAACTACTTCCTCAGATACCATCTCTCAACAACTATCCTCCAGCCCAAGCTTATGTATGTTTACTCAGAAGTCTCACTTTGTTTTTGAGACTCAGAAGTCTCACTTATATAAATAGTGCACCTTTTGCCCACATTTTACTAGTCAAGTGAAATAAAACTCACTTTCAATTTTGATGTCTTCTCATGCAGCAGCAACATCTCTTTCCTAATGTTTACCAACTTATTGTGATAGTATTTTGCTTCTGAAAACTTAAAAAGAATAGAACATTCATTGGAGCTAGATAATGTATATTGTAATGTGTCTAAAACAAATTCGAGTTACTTTAAAAAAACAAGGAACTTGGACATTTCTTGAGAATACTAAAAAGTATGTAAATACATATATGCCTAAATCAGTTCAAGATCAAACTGTTGTTTTTCTGTTTTAGGACATGAAAACATAGACATTCATTGTTGGATGTTCCCATTTAATACAAGACACTGTTATATATACAAAACACTTTGTGTATTTCTGCAGAAAAGGGAAGTTCAACAGCAACAGTCTTCTAATTAAGTCAAATCTAACAAAAATACACTTACCAGCATGTTGATATCAAGAATTGAATTACATTCTTTAAACTTTGAAATTTCTTGTTGTACAGTTTCTAATAGTACTTCTTGGTTCTGTCTGAAAGAATAATAGAGTAATTTAAAAAAGCATTTTGAAATCAATTCCACTAAAATGTAGTAGTGATATGAAAAAATCCATTTTAGAAATTCTGAATGCTATCTGCCCCTCAAGATTCAGTAGCTTTCTCAAGTGTGCTATACCACTCACTTCTATAAACATCTCAGTCTGATTTCAGGAAGAGGGAAGTGCAAACAATGCTGTATATCCCTGAAATAAATGTGCAGATAATTTTGATCTTTCAAGAGGAGGCTCAATTAAGAAGTAGAATATTTCTACTAACAAGCTATCAGTCTGGGGTTTGTACCGTATATAAAAAGTTAAATGACTAATTTTTTTCTTTAAGTTACATACGTGAGCTCTTTTAAGGCTAGTTTTGATCGTTGTAGGTCAGGTAAATAATGCGAAATCAGTCCTTCTGTTAGCTGCTCCACAGCTTTCTTATCTATCATAGGAAATTCATCTATTAGCCCTTCATCAGGAGAATTATCGTTAAGATCTGAAACAGAGGGATTGATAAAAATTATCATGGAAAACGTCTAAACCAAGAACTCTCAGAATTATTACAAGACATAAACCATTTAATTTACAATGATGCCAAACGAAGGGACTTACGACCTGTCCTCAAAGTTACAGCCGTTGCAGTGCCCCCATGGTCACGTGATCAAAATTTGGGTGCTTTGCAGCCTGCCCGCACTTATGACTGCAGGGGTGTTTCAACTTCCCCCACCCGCCTATCTCCCCCATCTATGCCCCTTGGGCCCCCTGCACTCCACAGCGCCTGCTGCCCTAGCTGATGCTCACCGTCTTCTTGCTCCCGCTGCTGACCAAGCATGCCTGGCCTGGCCCTTCACAAGGCAGCTGCTGGCCACATGAGGCTTTCTTCCCAAGATGGCGCAGGGCGGTTTCCTTGCGAGACCTGGGGAAGATGGCCTCACATGGCCAGCAGCTGCCTCATGAAGAGCGAGGCCGGGCACGCTGCCTCATCAGCAGCGGAGCAAGAAGATGGCGGAGGTCAGCTGGGGCAGCGGAACACAGGGGCCTCGGAGTGCAGGGTGGCAAGGGCGGCTGTGGCTGTGGCTGTGGCTGGGCTGTGGCTGGGCTGGGGTGGCTGAGGCTTCTGGGGCAGCTGCAGTTTTGTGCTGCGCTGGCTCAGGAGGCTCTTGCCTCTCGTGTGAGACTGGCAAGATTAACCTGTGGGCAAGTTCAGCTATGGTGCCAGGTCTTTTGGGTTTAATATTTTTGGCTTTAGTATTTTTTATTGTAAATATATGTTGTTTTATTTTGGGGGTGTGAGCCACCCAGAGTTTGGTACAAGATGGGCAGCTATACAAATGTTTTACACACATACACACACACGTATATGTATGTGTGTAGTATGTTTTTATAAATACAAATAAAGGTACCAGATAGGTGGCTATATAAATGCTTATACGTATTTAATGTTTTGTAATGTATATAATATATGTTTATAAAGGGGCCTCAGGGCTTAAGAGCCAACCCTGCCGAAAACGGGCAAAGCTCGGGCCCGGCGCGGCTTTCCGGACCGGCTGGGCGGACTCCCAGCAACAGGCTTGGCGTCCTTGGCG